GGCAGTAAAAAATGATAGAAAGCGAAGACTGTATTTCAATGAAGACACCAGCAGCATGAGTTTTCAAAGCTAATACAGCAGGCCGTATGGTGCTGAAGCTGTTATTACAAAACAGAGCGTTTGGGTGTAGGAGTAAACGACTGATAGCAAATAGTGCGGCGATGAATAATAGAATAACAATTAGACTATACTGGTATGGGAGTGAGTCATTAACTTCATAATTACCACAGCGTACTACGGCAATACTGTCGTTAATCACGCAGTCTGGCCCTGTATATGTCTGCGCGAATGCAGTGACAAGGTTTGCATGTAAGCGGAAAAAGTTGTTAAAGTTAGAGTATCTTCTAAATAGTCATTGCCATGGCTCCGACGACACTATTATAACCTCACGTAAAAGCACGTCGCGTTCACCCGATGAGCCCTTGCTGATATGATACATGCATCTCACCTGTCCGAAATTGGTCAAGTTGATTACTTTACGTAAGTCAAGGCGATGCGAAGCTGCGCTGTGTTCAACAAATCACGCCCCTTTTCAACATAAAGTCTATGTAATTGTAGAGCAGCCATGACATTCTGATTGCGGTTGGCTTTTCGAGATCTGCGAACAATGCTGTCACCACTTTAATTTGAGAGTAGCTAGCAACTTGCTCAGATTCCAATTTGACAAGAAGGTTGACAATATCCGGGTCTGAAAATTTTATTCGCAGTCTGGACAAGATAAATTGTCCGAAATCCTCTCCATTCCAGGCCATCAAATGATCCCACGTCTGGAATAATTCATGCTTCAGTGTTTCGTCTAGGTAAAAGATCCAGAAACCTCTCCTTCACAAATTGACGCTTTACCACCAATTGGCGGGCGAAGTAGCGATAAGATGGTTCCACATCGATGTACTCCTTCACCGCTTTTTCGAGATTTCCCGTCTCAATCAACACAGGAAATTCATTAAGCTGATCCAGAAGTCTCTTCAAAATGTCTTTATCGTCGTGAATGAAATTTTTGAAATAAAGCGTAAGCTCCTTTTTGTCAACAGCCTTGTGTATCCAGTACTTAAGCAAACAGCGCTCAAAGGTAAGGCCAACTTCGCGCGTCTCATC